ACAATTCCAGAAACTCCCTCAAGTCAGTCCTGGCATCATAAACACAGCTCACTTGCTGGTGACTAACGCTTGTAATTACAGCCCTGGGGAGGGGTGGATCACTTCAAGATCATCCACATCTGCATAGAGTTCAAGGTCAATGTCAACTGCCTGAGACCTGGTTTCAAACAACTCCCTGTCTTTGATACCCAGAGCGAACGAACATCGGTCCCCTTTACTGCTGCATTATCAAAGACATGACAGCAATTCTCAGAGTGACAAGCAGGGCTAACATCCGGGCTGGATCACTGACTTGCTAAAAAAGTGAAGAATACCATACGTAAGATTTTTGTTTTTTCCCAACTGTAAAATGAAGACAAAAAACACAAAGCACTCCTGACTATTGTGACAAAAGAGGTAGCTGGCACACAGGAAGCACTCCGTAAACAACCCTTAATGAAAAGGCTGACTTCCAGGAAGGAGACTACCGTCTCCTAAGACACCACTCACACCTTCCCCATAGGCTTGGCTTGCCAACCACAGTCAGTAAGCAGACAGGGCCAGAGGAAACCCAGAAGCCAGCATGGCAGGACTGGAATGCAGATTTAGAACTTCCGCATTAGTAGGCCTTAGGTCTCTCACACCACATTGTAGGGTTTCTGAGCCCTCATTTGTTACAGTGATGGCCGTACTAATATCTAACTCAGAAGACAAATCCATTAACTGAATTAAAACTGAAAAGCATTTAGAATGGAATTTTGTATCTAAGTCATTCCTTCGTGTCAGCTATTATTTTTTAAATATTTATTTTATACATCTACACATAGAGCCTGCATGCCAGATGAGAGCATCAGATCACATTATAGATGGTTGTGAGCCACCATATGGTTGCTGGGAATTGAACTCAGACCTCTGGAAGGGTAGCCAGTGTTCTTAACCAATGAGTCATCTTTCCAGGCCTAGCTATTATTTTTTTTAAGCCCATGCTATTTTCTGGATGCAGCATGGGCTCTCATTACCCAGCTACCGAAATGCTGTTGACTCTGGGGTGAATCTTTCCTATGGCTTATTTATTCATTCTGAGATATAGCCATACTTCTGAGAAGTCTCCCTTCAGATCAGTAGAAACTCCTCTTGGATCGCTCTCTATAAGAGTTTGGTTTGGTTTTTTTGTTTCTTTTTTTTTCTTTGAAGCCAAAGTCCAGTTTATTTGCAACTCTGGAAAGATCAGGGTACACAATTCCAAATTAACCAATGATCAGAGCAACAACACACCTAAAATTGGGGGAGGGGGGATTACCAGCATGAACATTAGTTTTTGTTGCTGCTGTTGCTTGTTTGTTTAATTGATGCTTTCATTTCATCGATGAATTCCCTTCCTTTAGTTTTAGGCTGATTTAAGACAAGCAATGTAGCCCATGTCTGAGTTTACACAAGATTGTCTCTGACCACTCAAGGCTGAACTTAAGTGAACACTCTATAACTTTTCAGTTTCAAGTAGTTTAATTCCATGATCCTTGGTGCATAAACTTAGCCAGTGCTAAAGAGGCTTTTGAGATAATCTCAAAAATACTGATAGTTCGAGATCATTTTTTTCTTTGTTTGCTTTATCGAGACAGAGTTTCTCTGTGTAACTGCTCTTGCTGTCTGGAACTCACCAGGCTGGAACCAGGCTGGCTTCTAACTCAGAGATCTGCCTGCCTCTGCCTCCCAAGTGCTGGGATTAAAGCCGTGCACCACCACCGCCCTCATTCCAGATCATTATTTCATGAAAAAACAAGTTAACTTTTTGACTGTTGAGTAGTAAGTTGATGGGAAAAGTCAAAATAAAAGAATACAAAGGAAATGGATGACTGTGTTTGAATAACTACAAAGGCCCAGCAAACTAAAATGAGATTAGGAAATAGATAGCTGTGGCTATCTAGTCAATCTACCTAAACATTCCAGTGGTTCAGTATAAAAAATGTATCAAACACAGAATTCTCTCACAACTGTTGTGTTCCCAAGCTCACAGGCCAGCTTTGTAATACTCCATTAGGGTGGACTTTTTTCCTTCACATGCTCCCTGGTTCTTTACAAGTGTGTCGGTTTTACCCTTAAATGAAATTTTTCCAGTCTACAGCTGGAAAAAGCAATTAGCACCACCTTTACCTCAGGATTGCCGAAAACTAACTAAAAGCTGGAAGAAACAACCAGTAAGCAGGATGTCCAAATGCAGCTCAATGTAAAACATTCATTCCTGGACTAAGTTGGACCCACAACAGCTTCCTCTGAGACCTTTTAAGACTACACTGACTATAATGTCCTTGATCTACAATGAGAGACACTACAAGAATTGGATTTATGGAATCCAAAGATGTTTATTTATGGTCCTCAATGGGATCTGAATGCAGTTCAGATACATCAGAACCAAGGATATGGAGCCTTGTATGTCTTTAACCCCTGCACTTGAAATGAAGAGGCAAGCCTATCTCCATGAATCCAAAGCCACCATGATATACATAGCAAACTCCAGACCAGCCAGATTTACATAGTAAGACAAGAGAGAGAGGGGAGAGAGAGAAAGAGAGAGAGAGAGTGCCCAAAGTGAACTCTTTCCAAGACTAAAAGATGCAGTTTCCTGAAGTAAGGGCACACTTGCATTTCCATTATCCTAAATTCACCTTTTTTTTGTTTTTGTTTTTTTTGGGGGTTTTTTTCGAGACAGGGTTTCTCTGTGTAGCTTTGGAGCCTATCCTGGCATTTGCTCTGGAGACCAGGCTGGCCTCGAACTCACAAAGATCCGCCTGCCTCTGCCTCCTGAATGCTGGGATTAAAGGCGTGGGCCACTAACCCTGGCCTAAATTCACCTTAATTCTCTGTCTCTGTCTCTGTCTCTTCCAAGATAGGGTTTCTCTGTTTAACTGCCCTGGCTGTAACTCTCTTTGTTGACCACACTGGTCTCTACCTCCCAAGAGCTGGGACTAAAGATGTGAGCCACCATGCCCAGCTTCACCTAACTTTTTACCTATCCTGGTTTCCGCATCAACTCACAGTTGGTTTTGTTATGTCCTATTGAATTGTAATTGTATGTCTATCTATGACAGCTGTCTGAATTGAAAAGAGGTGACTTGTGGTGAATAAATAACAAAGAACCTTGGTTTCCAAACAGTAAAGGTGAAAGGGGTGTTTCATTATCCCTGTCTCTCGTGATGTGCATAAAAACCAACTGTCATAACTTTTTCTTTTTTTAAACCAGGCTGGCCTCAGACTCAGAGATGGGCCTCTGCCTTCCAGTGCTCAGATTAAAGGTGTGCACCACCACTGCCTGACTCCAACTGTCATTTTCTTAGTAATGACTTAGTAAGAAAAATGCAACTAAAAAGTGGAGCCTGGTTCATTACTTAAGTTATTTCATATTTGCCATATTTCCATTTCTAGGCATACGACTCAATTTGGTGCCCACCATTACTTTATCTACAAATAAAATAACACTACTTAATTTCTCAGTAGATATATAAATGACAAGTGAGTATTTACTCCGGAGAACCAATTCATACTAATGCTTGTATTCTAATATCATAAAAAAGTTAATGCAAAGAAAAGGGTTCTTGTCTTGAAAGAGCTAATGTAGCTTCCAAAATAAACCACACACCCTTGTGCTCACTCAGACACATGCACTAATACACACACCCAGTGCACACTGATGGTTACACTCCCAGGAGTTACAGAAAGGCCACTTAAGGCACCCAGTCTAGGAACAAGAAGCCTGCAGATTTGGGGAGCTGGAGAGACTCTAGTCACAGAACAGCATTTAAATATATTTGTCTGCTTACAATTTCCATTGCAAATGTGATTAGTTTGCTTGAATAAATAAGAATATGATGTGTTGGCCATGTTTCCCTCTTGAGGGTTATCACAGAGTTTTGATTAAGGACAAATGTTTGAGATGCTGGGTATATTTAAGTTCACTGCGCTTAAAATGATCTAAGAAGTTGTATAGGCTTGATTAAAGGGCTGCCTTCGTGAACTTAAAATTAAAAGCAATAAATTCCAATGATTCAAGTGATTGGGACTGAATATGGTATTCTGCCAGAAAAGTTGAAATGCAGTCCAGAGAGGCTGAAATGGTGTGCAGGTTTGAAGAACCGGTGAAAGAGGAAAGGTCAATTTGTCGGAGTTGCCTTCTCCCAGGGTTCGTGAACGAGTCACATTACACAAAATTCCTTTTAAGTAGAACTTCACAGGAGTGACAAGCTCCCAGGACAATCTGTTTTGTCATTTCCAAGAAGAAGCCTCTCGGAGGCTCGGAGGCCGGCTTCTAAGTGTTGTCAGATGGAGAGAGGGAGGGGACAGGACGGGAGATGGGGGAGGGGAAGGGTCCCGGGGCTAGCTACAGCACAGGCTCAGGCCAAGTCTCCCAAGCACTTTCCAAAACGGAAGTCAAGGTGACTTCCCTACCCGCGGGAGGGCGGAGCCCTCGAGACGTAATAGGATCAGGCTTCAGCGCTAGCTGGGGCCCCTAGGAGAAACCCAGGCCCACAACAGAATCGGGAGAGCCCCGAGGTGGCAGAGGGGTCTGCGTGACCCTGGGCTCGCTCCTGTCCCAGGCCACCTGGCCCCATCCGCGTACTCCTCCTTGCTGGCCCGGGCTCGGTCCCGCGGGACACTGCTCCAGACCGGGCCAAGTGGGAGTGTCCGGCTGGCAAAGTTTCTGCAGCACTGTCGGGGGTAGGCACGCGGCGGCAAGTGCGGTCCCCGGTGCCCTCCCTCCGCTGCAAGGTGGAGCCCCGCATGCAGCCCCCCGACTGCACCCCTCTGGGCGCCAGATCGACCCTGCCCTCCGCGCTTACCTTGGCGGCCGCCATGCTTCGGCCGGGGTGCAGGCAGCTTCGGGACCCGCTCTCCCGCTGGCTTGCACTGGAGACCCCGGCGACTCACTTCCCGTCCCGGCTGAGGTGGGGGCGGCGATTCGGCCCGGCGGCGTGCGCTCCCGGGCCTGCCTCCCCACGCCCTCCCAGCGTGGGTCATGAGGGTGCCGCCAGCCCATTGGCTGGGCCGGGCCAGAGCCTCCGGGCCCGCGTGATCTGAAGGCCTCTGCCCTGTAGCCAGGGAGGGCCCTAATCTGGGAGTTGCGGCGGGACCAGGACACGTGACTCTAGCCATGCTGTCCAGCTGTAGCTGCCACCTTGGTGGGTACCCAAGACTCATGGAGAAATGCAAGCCACTCTCCCGAAGGCAGGTGACCCGGGGAGGGAGGCTTCTGCTTGGGCTGGGACCAAGGACTAGTCCTGGGCCCAGGTAAAGCCAAGTAAGGGTGGTTGTTGGCACACAACACCTGGAGGTTGACGTCCATACACACCTAACTGGGGCAGGTTCTTGCCAGGTTCACCTTGGTTTTTTTTTCTTCCAGAAGGACCCCACAGCAAAGCCATCGCAAATCCCCAAAGTATTGACTAATAGAAGAGAAGATTAACAGCTGGCCATCCTACTTTGAAGATCTAGCTTGAAAAGCTCTTGAATGTAGTACAAGAACACACATTTGTCGAGCTATTTTGCATCAACTCTATATTAGAACAAAAGAGGTTACAGAGCATAAGGAGCCTAAGGGCTAGTGAGATGCCCAGCTTTCATGTAACCTACTCAGGCAAGAGCTCGCCCCCAGGACACCCTAAGAACAGAAGACTGGACAGCTTCTCAGAGATGATTGCTGAGGTAAGTATGTCAGTCCAGTGGGTAGACAATAAGAGATGTCTCCCAACCACATGTATACTACCTGAGGGCTTTTAAGGCTAGAAGCAGTATATCTAAGTTCCAGTGTAGTTGGGTCTCCACATTCTTGCCTGAATGTACCCCAGATGCATAAGTTAGAAACTAAACCACCAGTGTAACACACTCAAGTCCTGAGGGTTCTGTCCTAATGTATACATCAATGCCTTCAAAAAAAGGGCTTGCAACCTTTATATTCTAAGCACCAGGAAGGTGGGATTGTAAGACCGCCGGAAGCTCAGGCCTCCAGGATCTCAGCCCAGGACTTGGATCACCTCAATCACCAGGCAGAGTCAAAGCTTGATGCAAACTGCATGAGGCTTTATTAAAGTTGTTTAACGAGCTAACCCCATGTTAGCTCAGGTCTTTTATCCATCCACCATGGCGGATGGCTAGAAAAGACATCTCAAAGCCTCTGCATAGAGATCTTGTAGGGCAGCGTAAGGGGAGTGTCTAGGGGTACGCACAGGCTCACGATTGGTGTGCCTCCAGGCTTGGAGGGCTTGCCCTGTGTTGATTGGTCAACTGGTTGTTATGGCCCATAGGCCCTCCCAGGGTGATTGCTATGCTCTGCACGGCATTGCTATGCACTTGTCTGTAAAGCACACCCAGAGCCTTAAAGCATAGCACCACCAGCTAACTTCTGATTGGTTCCTTGCCACGAGGCAGGCTTCTGACCTCCTAGTGACTAAGGCATGTTCACACAAGCACATGTTCGGCTGTTATGGCTGCTGAAATGGGGAGCTGGTCCCTTCAGGATCAGGTGTACCAATCATTCCAGGCCAGCCTAAACTGTATAAGGAGACCATGTCAAAAAAGAAAGAGGAAAGAAACAGGCTCATAAAAGTGAGTTTACTCTCGTCTTGTGTCATGTGAGGTCATAGCTTTCCTGTTCCTGGAAGATAGAGTACTCAGGGAACCATCTTGGAAACAGACCTAGGACTTCTCAGCCACCACAACTAAGTGGAATAGGTTTTTTTTTTTTGTTTGGGGAGGGGAGCGAGGTTCAAGACATGGTTTCTCTGTGGCTTTGGAGGCTGTCCTGGAACTAGCTCTTGTAGACCAGGCTGGTCTTGAACTCATAGAGATCCACCTGCCCCTGCCTCCCAAGTGCTGGGACTAAAGGTATGCACTACCACTGCCTGGCCGAGGAATATGTTTTATCCTTAGTCTCAGGTACTGTGTGGTAGCAACATGAACCAGACATACAACCTGTTTGATGTATGGAGAATGGGTCAGGACTCAACTACCAGAAAATCCAAACAATGTAGGTTAGAAAGGGATAGGACTAACAGAACATAGTGCATGAAAACAGTAGGTCTGAATGGCTGGCGGCATTTAGGGATTTTAGGTAGAACCCATCTTCATTTGTCCACAGGTGTGCGGTATGGATGTCTGGAAAGATACCGAAGATGAGTAATACCCAAGGAGGGCTTTGGAGAGGTCTGTCTCCTCCAGTGCACATTTGCAGCATGCAGACAGTGTTAGAGGAGCACTCGAAAGAAGCATTATTTGCCCTTCCAAGGGCTCAGGGAGTTTCTCCAACTCCAAAGCCAGTGAGCATCTCATTTCTCTCTAATTCTGCTTCTCGAATGTGGCCTCTTTGCTGTCTGTAACCTCTGTCTCCCATTTTAGAAGGCCATGGTGGCACACATCTGGAAGCCTATGCTTGTAAGACCCCCGGAAACCTCAGGTATCCAGGATCCCAGGCCACGACCGCGGTCACCCGAATTACCAGGCGGATTGGAGAGCTTGTTGCAAACTGCATGAGGCTTTATTGTAATTTAACAAGCTAACCTCATGTTAGCTCGGGTCTTTTGTCCACCCACCATGGCGGTTGGCTACAAAAGACCATTTGAACTGGCTGCCAAGAGATCTTGTAGGGCAGCGTAAGGGGAGGTTCTAGGGGTACGCACAGGCTCGCGATTGGTGTACCTCCAGGCTTGGAGGGCTTGCCCTGTGTTGATTGCTCAACTGGTTGTAATGGCCCATAGGCCCTCCCAGGGTATTTGCTATGCTCTGTGCATCATTGCTGTGTGCTTGTCTGTAAAGTACACCCAGGGTCGTAAAGCATAGCGCCACCAGCTAACTTCTGATTGGTTCCTTGTCCTGAGGCAGGCACCTAACCTCTAGTGATTAAGACAAGGTCATAGTGAGCACGTGTTATTGTCGTGGCTGCCGAAATAGGGAGCTGGTCCCTTCATGCTGGCACTTGGATAGTAGAAGCAGAAGGAGGTAAGTAAGGTTCAAGGCTGCCTGGGAAACATGAGACCTTGCCTCAGGCATACAAAAATTAAAAACCATTTTCAACTGCACTTAACATTTAGGGACCACTCGGAGAATCTAAGCTACCTCTCCACCTCCGTCCCTCAATCACATCTGTGAAGTTTCTGTCATATAAAAGAATATTATCAATAGGGCCCTGGATGTGGACATCTTTCAACCCACTGAACACATCAGACTGTAAAAATAGACTATAAGTATGTGTCTGTGTTATTTTAAGTTACATGTAAAATCATTCTCAGTTCATTCTCATATTGACATAAGTGACTCGCCTCATTTGTCCTCTTTATTCTCCCGAAAACTCTCCCTACCACCATCATTTAAAAGTAGCTGGCAAGATTAAACTGTGCCTCAGATTTGGAACTTGAAGATGTAATCATGAGGTCATCCTATAGTATGAAGGACCCTTAATCTGCTATGGCTGGAGTTCTTATAAGGAGACACGGGTCAGGCATGATGGTTCATGCTGCTGATCCCAGCACTGTGCAGCCAGAAGCAGAGTTCCGGCTAGCCAGGAACAGACAAAGAAAACAAAGAAGAAGACATGGAAACACTACATAATTATTTCGTACAATAAAAAGTAGAGATTCGAGTGGTGGAGCTACTTGGCCAAGGAGCATGAAGAATAGACACCCACCACATTTCAAGACCACCGTGCCTCCCCAGAAAAGAACTCTCCCCACCTCTGAAGGAAACACAGCTCTACTAATTCCTTGGTTTGAGACTTCCATCCACCAGAAATGTGAAAGAACAAATTTCTGTTGTTCCAAGCCACATATCTTGTGGCATTTTGTTCTGACAGCCCTCGGAAACTAATATAGGTCTCCTAACCACCTGTGCTTTATAGCACATTTTGTCAACCTTGCTGGCTGGGAAGGCAGCCAACCCAAACCTCAGGGAAAAGCTCACTGACTCAAAAGCATACAGTGTGAGCATGAGCCTAAGTTCAGAAGAGCTAGTGACGTGGCCGGTTCTGAGCTTTTCCTGTTCCCAGAGCACCTAGGCCTTGTAAATGCTCTTTGACCGTGCCCTTTAATGATCTGTTTTGCTCTAATCAGTTAATAACAAACAAGCAAACATCACCACTGCCATCATGCCAGACTGGATGGCTAGAAAGGATATCCAGCCAGAAGGCAGGCCAAGCACACCAGCGGCAGGAGGCTTTAGCCAGGTGGCTACAGACTGCAAGGTGGACAGCGTTTGTGACAGAATAGAGCAAGCACGGTAGAACTGAGATGCTCCCAGCTGTTTGTAACTGGTACCAGGCCACTTCAGGACACACAGGAGCGCTGCACATGCCTTCCCTAAGAGTGGGCTAAAGATAGGTCAAAAATAACCTATTAACAGACACAAATGAGAAAACTGTGTCAACATTTTTAGAGTTAGGAAGGAAGGAACGAAGTGAGGAAGTGAGTCAGGCAGGAAGCATGAGACACCTTGGGAAAGTGTGACTGAAAACAAGTCCCCAAAGTTTGTGGTATTATACTCTGTGAACAGGCTGTCTTGATTTCTTTGGTTTTTAGACAGGGATTCTCTATGTAGCTCTGGCTGCTTTTGTAGACCAGGTTGGCATCAGTTCAGATCCACCTGTCTGCCTCCCGAGGGCTGGGACTAAGACTGTGTACCACCACCACCACCACCACCTGGCATCCTTGTAATTCTTTAAAGCCAGCAGCCTAGGGTCCAGTTCTATAGCACATCACCCTGCTCTCATCTTAGGCCTCTCTCTTCTTCATGTGATGCCTATAGCTACACTGTGATTCCCCAGATAATCCAGGAGAGACTCCCAGGGACATGTTCAGTGACTGTTAGTTTGCAAAAGGCATGGTGGTGGTCCACTCCTTTAACACAGCAGTCAGGAGGAAGAATTCCTGTGAACTCAAGGCCAGCCCAGTCTTCAGCTACGTAGTGAGTTCCAGGCCAGCCAGGGCTAAACAGTGAGACCCTGTCAAGGAAGAGAGAGGGGAAGTAGGGAAGGAAAGAAGGAAGGAAGGAAGGAAGGAAGGAAGGAAAGAAAGAAAGAAAGAAGGGAGAGAAGGAGGGAGGGAGGGAGGAAGGAAACACTAGAGACTTGGTGACTTTCAACATCAGCAATTTATTTTCTTAGAATTCTGAAATCAAGGTGTTGGCAGAGTTGGTTCATTCTGGGACCTCACTTTTTGATCACAAAAGCCATCTTCCTATGTCTCTCCTTTGTCTTAGTCCTGTTCTTTTTAATATAAAATCACTAGTCCTGTTGGATGAATACTAAATGAATCTGAATTCATTTTAATTAATGACCCTTTTTAAGATCAAAGTTTAGTCTTCCTTTGAATATCAAGTTAGAACATCAAGAGAGGAAGGGATGGATGCTTAGCTTGTAACAACTGCCAAATTTAATTCCATCTTCTACCTTAATTCCCCTTTGTCATATTGTACAATGTATTCACAGGTTCCAGAACTTGGGAAAATGACAAAGTTGAGGATCCATGATTTTGTTTAACATGTCCTATTCTGAGATATTTTCACCATGTCACAGACGTTAGAGAAACACTAGTTCTTAGAATACATAAACAGTTGCTCTATCCATAGTTGCATATACTGTCACTAAAGCAAAGAGGATTACTTGGGGGTAATTGCATCAAAAACACTTAAAGGTTGAGCCCAGTTAGAAGGATCCAAGGCCCTTGGTTTTGCACCAAACCAAAGTCTATATGTTTGTGAACTCAGCTGTGCTGTGAAACAATCTTTGTACACTGTAAATATGTATTGCTCTCATTATTAATAAAAAGTTGATTGGCCAACTAGCTGGGCAGGAAGAGATTGGGTTAGACAGCCTGACACAGAGAGAATACTGCAAAGAGGAAGGGTGGAGTATGGAGTCACCAGCAGATTCAGAGATAAGAAAAATGGGCATGCCATGCTGAGAAAAGGTACCAAGCCACAAGGCACAGCATAGATAAGGAAAATGGGTTAATTTAAATGTAAGAGTTGGCTAGTAACAAGCCTGAGCTATGGGCCGAGCATGTACAATTAATATTAACACTCTGAGTGTTATTTGAGAGCAGCTGATGGCACAGGAAAACTCGACCTACACAGCTGAGATCCTCTGGGCCAGTGCCACTCAATTCAAGGACAAATCCAGCTCAGGTCACCTTGGTCCTCCAGTGCACTCAGATCCACATATCAGAAGTGGCCGGTGCTTGCCAGCCCCTCATCTGACTAGCAGGAAGGGACAGGCAGTAGTGGGTGATGCTCACAGTAAGCATTCGGCCCTGTGACCGCCCTGGGTTTGGAGAGTGTCTTCTAAGAGCAGCAGCTGCTTGTGAAGAGTTTCTGAAACACTTTAGCAAGAGTGCCAGGATGTTTTAATTAGATGCTTGGGAAAACAGCCTTACCCAAGCCAGTTTTTTGTTTGCAGAAGAAAAGGAGTTTATTTATGAGGTGGCCCATCCTGTGGAGATTGGGAAGCTAGCTTGCTCCTAGAGTGGGCTTTAGGGAGATTTATGGGATAAAGTAGGTAGACAGTCTGAGGTATGGGATACATGAGGAGAGGTAAGGAGAAGTTGTGGTCTTCTGCTTTGTAGAGCTGGAATCTAAAAACCGGTATTCATTGCAAGCTTCCCACAAGTATGAAATGGATGCATATAAATCACCTGGCACATGAGGAATATATTAATAACTATACCAGTAGGTATTAGTTAGCTTAACCTTCTAGTATTTGGCTTCCCAGATGAAGACCATTTACTCCTACGCCTTGCTATCTCAGGGCCTTCAAAGGCAGAGAAATCTGGGGGTGGGAAGAAGTGTAGGGCAACGTGTGTGTGTGTGTGTGTGTGTGTGTGTGTGTGTGTGTGTGTGTGTGTGTGTGTGTGAAGATCTGACTGCAGCCTCATACATGCTGTCATTCACTCTACCATGAAAAACTTACTTTAAATGCTGGAAACGTATGCTGAGGAAAGGCAGACAATATTAAAACACCTAAGTATTTATGAACAACCTGCTAGCCTTAGCTCTATTTTTTCAGTATTTTTTAATTTAATTTTAGTTCATTAACAATTTTTCATTTATTTTACATACCTGTCAGTGGTGGCAGGAAGGGGTAGAGGGGGACAGGACACAGGGACAATTTTTCATTTATTTTCCCCACCCTCCTCTCCTCCTTCCCTTCCTCTACCTTCTTCCCTATCCAGTCCTGCTTGGTCTCCATTCAAAACCGGGCAGACCTCCCATGGACTTGAACAAAGCATGGCAAGTCAAGTTGAGGCAGGACCAAGCTCCTCCCCTGCTGCAACAAGGCTGGGCAAGGTAATCCAGCATGGGAAACAGGTTCCTAAAGTCAGGGACAGGTCCTGATCTTCACTACTAGGAACCATACAAACACACCAAGCTACATAACTATGGCACACATGCAGAGGGCCTAGGTCATGACATTCCATGCAGATTCCCTAACTGTTGGTCCAGAGTCCATGTGCTCCCATGAGCTCAGGTCAACTGTCTCTGTGGGTTCCTCAGTCATAACCTTGACAACCCTGGCTCCTCCATTTCTTCAAGAGGACTCTTGAAGCTTGACCCAGTGCTTGGCTGTGGATCTCTGCATC